AGGCCAGTGTTCCTGTCTCCGGTTTCCGGGCGAGAGCCCACGGCTGTGTGATTGAATGCGTGTTACCCCGTGGAGCGTGCGCATAGTGTGACTCCCAGGTGGCCCCGTGGCAGAGTCCAGGACGGCCTGTCCACTCTGCTCCGCTCTAGCTCCCGGCTCCTCTCCCGGCCCTGTCGTGGACCGCCAACGGGTGTTTTCTTGCGGTGTCTATGTGTCTTCAGATACGGTGAAGAGGTTTTAGAAATCCTCATTACCATAGTGCGTCTGTCCTGCTGGAGCGGGGCTGCGGGCTCACTCCTTCCTGGTCCAGGTGGAGTGACCCATCTGTCCTTCTGCAGGTGGCAGACGGGTGCATCGGGCCTGTGGGCTTGCTCCTTCCTGGTCCACGCGGAGTGACCCGTCTGTCTTTCTGCAGGTGGCAGACGGGTGCATCGGGGCTGTGGGCTTGCTCCTTCCTGGTCCACGTGGAGTGACCCGTCTGTGCTTTCTGCAGGTGGCAGATGGGTGCATTGGGGCTTTGGGCTCGCTCCTGCCTGGTCCACGCGGAGTGACCCATCTGTCCTTCTGCAGGTGGCAGACGGGTGCATCGGGGCTGTGGGCTTGCTCCTTCCTGGTCCACGCAGAGTCACCCGTCTGTGCTTTCTGCAGGGGGCAGACGGGTGCATCGGGGCTGTGGGCTCGCTCCTGCCTGGTCCATGCAGAGTGACCCGTCTGTGCTTTCTGCAGGTGGCAGACGGGTGCATCGGGGCTGTGGGCTCGCTCCTGCCTGGTCCATGCAGAGTGACCCGTCTGTGCTTTCTGCAGGTGGCAGACGGGTGCATTGGGGCTTTGGGCTCGTTCCTGCCTGGTCCACGCGGAGCGACCCATCTGTCCTGCAGGTGGCAGACGGGTGCATCGGGGCTGTGGGCTTGCTCCTTCCTGGTCCACGCGGAGTGACCCATCTGTCCTTCTGCATGTGGCAGACGGGTGCATCAGGGCTGTGGGCTCGCTCTTTCCTGGTCCACGCGGAGTGACCCATCTGTCCTTCTGCAGGTGGCAGACGAGTGCATGCAGACCCCAGAGTCACCCGCACCGACTCTGCGTTCTTGGAGAGCTGGGACGTGGGCCTGGGACGCCCGTGGCAGACTCAGTCGAGGAGGATGACTCCTGTGAGCGATGGAGGCACGGCAGAGAGCATCTTCGACCTAGACTACACGTCCTGGAAGATCCGCTCCACACTGGCGGTCGCCGGCTTCGTCTTCTACCTGGGCGTCTTCGTGGTCTGCCACCAGTTGTCGTCCTCCCTCAATGCCACGTACCGCTCTCTGGTGGCCAGAGAGAAGGTCTTCTGGGACCTGGCGGCCACGCGCGCCGTGTTTGGCATTCAGAGCACGGCTGCGGGCCTGTGGGCCCTGCTGGTGGACCCCGTGCTGCAAGCCGACAAGGTGCATGGCCAGCAGAAGTGGTGCTGGTTCCACATCGCCACGGCAACTGGATTCTTCTTCTTCGAAAATGTAGCGGTTCACCTGTCCAATGCGCTCTTCCGCACGTTTGACTTATTCTTGGTGGTCCACCATCTCTTCGCCTTTCTTGGCTTTCTTGGCTCCTTGGTCAACCTGGAAGCTGGCCACTATCTGGCGATGACCACATTGCTCCTGGAGGTCAGCACCCCCTTCACCTGCATTTCCTGGATGCTCTTAAAGGTGAGTGTTTCCGGCGGAAGGCGGGGGGCCTCTGCCGCCGCTGCCCTGGTCCGCACCGGTGGGGGGCCCGCTTCTCGGGCACCAAGCTCTGCGGTCACCCTGGACTAAATCGCAGTGTGCGGAGTCTGTGAGGAGCTCCTCCTGGCTGAATTCTGTGTTCCTAATTGCAAACCTCTTAGGCTTCTAGCTCCGTAGCAAAACAAGACTCTCTGGATCTTAGCACTTAGTCGATAGGATATTGTAAGCCCAGAAAACATGGTATTTTTCTTTCAAACGCTTTAAAAAAAAAAAATCCATAAATTATATATGTATACACACATCTTTTTTAAAATTTTTATTTCATCATATGTTATTTTAACACTTACCATGAGATCCACCCGCTTCAGGAGTTCTTATGTGGACAGGACGTTACTGCGGACCCCAGGCACGGCATGGCACGGCCGAGCCCTCAAGTTTGCCCCCCGTGCTTGCCGAAGCTTCCAGCCTCCTCTCCCTCCAGCTGCGGGCCGCCACCGCCCCACACCGTTCTGTGAATTCGGCTACTTAAATACATAAGTGGAGGCTCACTCCTCCGAGCGTCGTGTCTGCAAGGCTCACACATGTGGCTCACCGCAGAATCTCCTCTCAGGCAGACGGGTTTTGCGTTGTGTGTAGGTGCCACGCTGTCTGTGTCCGTGGGTCCGCCGTGGGCACCTGGGTCGCAGGCGCATCTTAGCCGCTGCAAATAGCGCTGCAGTGAGCATGGAGGTGCTCCCAGCTCTTCGAGATCCTGATTTCGGTTATTTTGGAAGAGCGTTCACAAGTGGGATGACTGGATGACGTGGTAAAACCTCCGTGCTGTTCTGCACGGTGGCTGCCCCCTCTCCGTTCCCGCGACACCGTGTCGGGGTCCCAGTGTCCCCACGTGCTCGCCCACACTGGTCTCCTGCATGTTGTTGATTCTCGCCATCGTGACCTGTGTGCAACGGTCTCACATGGTTTTGGTTTGCTTCTCCCTGGCGATCAGTGAGCTTACACACTTTCATGCAGCTGTGGGCCGTGTACATGTCTTCTCCCGAAAACTGTTCACTGCCTTGAGCCATGTTCGGATCAGAGTTTTGTTTCCACTCGTGCCTTGTAGTTCTTTATCTGCGCTGGAGAGTAGTCTGTTGCTGGTCACGCCGTCTGCAGGCACCCTCCCCCCACTGTGGGGCGTGTGTTTGCGCCTCTGCGGTGAAGGTTCTTAGCTTTATGCGGCCCCAGTTTATTTTTGTCTCTGTTGCCTGTGCTCTTGGCGTCATAGCTGGGCAATCGTTGCCAAGACTGGAGTCGTGAAGCTTTTTCCCCATGTTTTCTTCCAGGACTGTTAGTTTGGGGGCCTTCAACCCATTCTGACTTTTGTGTCTGGTATAGGAACGTGGCCCAGTTTTCCCAGCACCACCTGTCAGAGGGACGGCCCTTTCACCGTTGTAGGTTCTTGGCCCCTTTGTGGTCAAGGAGTTGAGCGTCTGCGGTGGATTTCCTTCTGGCCTCTGGGCTCTGTGCCTGCCTTCCTGCCCATGCCGTGCCGTTTTGAGTAGCTCTGTAATATAGTTTGAAATCAGGAAGTGTGGTGCCTCCGTGTATTCTTCTTTCTCAGGGCTCAAATGACTATTTGTGGTCTTCTTTGGTTTTCCGTGAATTTTAGAATGGTTTCTTCTATTTCTGCAAAGAGTGCCATTGTGATTTTGGTAGGAATGGCGTTGACCTGGGGATCACGTTGGCAAAGCTTTCTAGTCAAATTTTTAGTTCCTTTACTGTGTTCTCAGCTCCTTGATTTCCTTTTGGGACTTTTTTTTTTCTTAAATATTTTCTGTCTCTGTTGAAGTTCTCATTTTGTTCGTGCATTGTTCTCGTGACTTCAGTGACTCACATCTTCGTGACAGTTAACGGGTCCTTCTCTGTCAGATACATCATTTAAGTCCAGTCCCTTAGGGTCTGCTTTTGGAGATTGACCTTGGGAACACCTTTGCCTGAGTCTGCCCTTGCCCGAGGCTGTTGCTGCCTGTGCATCAGACAAAGCAAGCACCTCTTCCAGGCTCCACACACTGTCCTCACGCAGGACCCAACCCCACTGGTCAGCCCGGCCAGAGATTCTGGGGCTCTCTGCCGGCTCTGTCCCTCCCTGGGGGAAAGTCGGCCGCTGTGCAGTCTGCTCCCTCTGTGTGGAGCTGAGGTTGGGGGGCAGAAGCTACGGGGTCTGCCAGCCCAGCCACCGCCTCTCCTCTCCCCAGGGCCCAGCAGCTGGACTCTGCCTGACCTGTCAGAACTGCAGGACTGACCAGACCGAGGCCAGTCCTCCGCCAGCCCCTCGGCAAGGGTGGGGTGCTGGACGCATGTAGCAACTCCTCCCTCTTCTGGGGTCTCCTCCTGACCCTGTGCTGCTGGAGGGTCCCTCCCCACCGCGGCGAGGGCGGCTCACATTCCCCCACATGCAGGAGCCTCTCCAGGATTTCTGATTTCTCACAAAGGAGCTTTGTGTGTGCATTGTGCTGAATCCGGGTGTCTGCGGGGAGGGTGGGTCCGGCTTCCTGTCCGCTGTCTTCTCATGTCTGTCGCAGCTTGCGTGTCATCTTACGCTTGTGTTTCTGAATAAGGTTGTTTTTCTACTGATCAGAGGTGTCGGGACCTACCATCACTGTTTGTGTAGTATTTGTTGCCTTTTTGTTTGTAAAACAGTATTTTTAGAAGCTGTATGTTTTCTGGATACCATCTTGATTGTCATTTTGATAGCAAAATGTTCAGGTGAGACTCTTGAGAATTCTATCTTTAGCACAGATTTCTTGCCATCTTCTATGGCTCACTGTTCACAGGATGTTTATGTGAAAAATGAAATACTGCTTTGTGTTTCATAAATGTCTGATGCAGTCACCACAAATGGGTCAGGGCCCTGAGCACTTCTGTAATGCTGTGGTAAGCTTCGGGAGAAAATCGAGAAGCAGAAAGAATCATCAGTGCCTTCAGGTCCCCTGGGGTAGACAGTGTGGGAACATCGGAGTGAGTTACCGGTGTCCATGGGGCAGACCGTTCACACGTAGCAAACACCTGCGGAGCACCGGGCCGGCGTGTAGCCTTGCCGTGGTCCCCCGGGGCTGCCCCTGCCTTGTGCCGCAGGAGGACGTCTGAGTGCGGGGACAGGTGCCGCGGCGAGCAGGCGGGCCAGGCAGCTTGGGGAGGGCCGGGGCTGGCCCGTGAACCCAGGCCCTCCGGCTGGGGAGCTGTAGCTGCTGCTCAGTGCCCGGGAGCTTCGTGAATGCGGGGTTTGTGGACGGTTGAGGTCCTCAGGCAGCAATAATTTGGGGGAAGGTTGGAAATCGTTAATGGAGTGGAGGAGTGAAGCCGGCCGACCTCTGAATGATGGAGGCTGCTGGTCCAACGGTGGGTCATTTTGATAAGATGCTGTGACTCGGGCGCCACCAGTGTGTCCTGCTCACGCCCTGCAGCTTTTCAGTTCTCTCCTTGTGGGTGTCCCCTCCACGAGAGGGGGTTCCCGAGTTTGGAGAGCAGGGGCTGAGACTTCCCTGCGTTCTGTGGCCGTGAGCACAGCACCAGCCTCTTCCTGGTTGGCTGTGGACAGAGGCTGTGCCTTACACACGGGCTGCAGTCCGGTCACCCTGTCCCACCTGCTCCCCATCCAGGACAGCCCGCTCACATGGGTGGGCTGGACCACTGTTGTCAACAGGCACCTGCACCAAACCTACAAGACAGATGTGCCTGGGACATAAGGTCCACGTTTGAGAAAACAGATGATTAGTTTTCTGGAATTTTTGTTATTTTTTTGTTGGAACTCCATAAAAAAAGAAAAAAAAGGAAAAAAAGAAAAAATCTTCTTGTCTCTTTCCAGTCCATAGTGGTGATCAGTGTTGAATGGCTTCACGTGTATTTCTCCAGACTTGTGTCTACACCGCCTGTGGCCGGGCGTGGCCACCAGCCTCTGGTCCTCAGCATCCTCGGGAGGAAGGCAGACTCCTGCGGTGGGTGGGCACGGGAGAGAGACTTGGTTTTGGATTTTTCTGCTGCCTCTACAGTTGGCTGGGTACTGTTTGTGCCGGATGGAAAAAGGCATCTCCATGTGTTCACTTCTTAACACCCTGACTCTGCCAAGCCAGCCGACCCCAACAGCAGAACTGTACCCCAAATTAAGGTAGCTTAGGTCAGTGTTTCGTGTTGTTGTTCACATACTACTAAACGTAAGTGAATGCTGCCTACAGTGTTGAAATCCTTTTAAGCTTTCAATAAAGCTGCCAAAGTAGTTGGGCATCGGATTTAGGAATCTGCCAGAGCACCAGGTCTGATCTGTTGAGATATATAGCACAGGATGTGCATGAAGACAGCGGACATCACTGTAACTTAGGACAGGCTCTGCCTCCGGTGCAGTGGCTTATTCTTAGCACTTCCTTCTTGACTGATTCTGAAATGTTAGACTTAATAAACAAACTGCACAGGACTCAAACCTCGGGATAAAATTCACCCACAACGACTGTGGCCTGGGTGTGAATGGGGTCTGTCGGTTTCCGTGCACATTCCCCACGCCGTGCTGCAGAACGCGGCTCTGTACGTGCTGTCACCAGCGTTGTCCCCGTCCCTGCTCGGAGCACGTGGTCAGGTGACCTGGGTTATGCCGAAGAATGCTCAGTTCTCAAGCTTCGAGCTTTCTGAACATAATTACTCTGTGAGTAAAAGTTCATATTTGTGATATGAACATTAATAATTTAAGAAGGCCACTTTTAGCAGTGAGGGGAATAATGGGGAAGAGCCCTTTGTTCTGTGAATTTTGGAGGGAATGGCAAAGTGGGACGGAGTCCTTGCTGCTAAGCACAAAGGAGGGGTGAGGGGGCGGCGGCGTTGAGGTGTGCTCTGCTCTGCTCCCGTGTCTCCACAGTTTGTACTCTGGAAGCCTAATCTCTTCCACAGGAGCGATCTGACTTTGGAAACGTCAAACCTCCCGTGTTTCTGTGCTTGAGAAAGGTGTACTTGTGGTCTACTTCTACGACCCCACAGAAGATGCATGTGCTCATTGGTAGTAATCGGGCGCTCTGCCAGTTGCAGGCGGGGGCTGGGGAGGAAACGCGGACGACAGACCGAGCTCTAGAGGTGGAGACTGCGCAGGGCAGATGTGTGCTTTGTTCCCTTGGGAAACAGGGTGGCCAAGTCCAGAGAAGCTCACACAAGGGAGCAGAGCCCATGCAGCTGGGACTGGGTATCCCCACCCCCCGTGTGCGTCCAGGCTGCACCTGGTACTGCAGTGGGTGTTGGACGAGGGTACGTGAACAGTGCACCTGTGCCAACCTGAGTGCTGTCCATCACCGCCTCTGGGCCTGGTGATGGGACCACTTGGCAGAGGCCACACGGTTTCTCACCAGACTGGGGCACGCCTGAGTGCTGGAGCACCTGGTTCCTGCTGATGGAGGGCTGACGGCGGTCTTGGCTTCTCCTTCAGACAGGAGCCTCCGAAAACTGTAGCCTCGCCTTCTGATTTTACAGAAAAGTTAACAGACGTATTTGGTTTTATCCTTCTGTCATGTGGCTGTCAGGACTGATGAACACAGATCTGGTCTCAGCTTCTCCCCATCCATGTCTCAGGCCCCTTTAGTGTGGAGCTGTTACACTTGTTTCGGGTTTGTGCCTTGGCTCTCACTCCTGTGTGTTTATTGCTCCAGCAGAGTGGGGTCCACGGGAAGCATGTGGCTACGGTCCACCTTGAGTGGCACCAAACACAGGTTTGGAGCAAACGAAGTACTTGGTGAGTCTGTGAAAAGCTGCCCACGGGGTCTGGAGATGGCGTGCTGCGTGAGCAGGGCAGTGTCCATTCCTACAGACTCTGCCAGGGAGGCTGCCCACAGGAGGCCCAAGAACCCATGTGCCCGGAGAGGGAGCGTGCTGTTAGAGCCTCCACGGAGCTTTCTCTGGGCCCTTCCATCTCCTCGCTTCACGTCCATGCTTGTGTTCAAACTCTGCCAGAATAAATAGGGTGCTTCTGTGGGGTATTATTTACACTAACTGAATTATCAGTAGAAAAAAGCATGTACGGATATGTCTGCTCTAAAAGTAGTAGACCATGCAGAGTTTTTGTGAAGTTATTTTTGTGTAAGTTCAGTTTTTCAGACAACAAGGAAGTTCCTTGTTTTTCTCAGTTTATTTTTCCTGAGTCATCAATTCCATGGATTCTCGTTTTCCTGTGTCAGAGCTGTGTGGACACATTTTTATGCCATGAGAGATTAGGATTCCTTCCTTGTTTAAAAACATTCAGGAGCTGGTTTGCTGCGTCCCCATCGGGACTGGGCAGATGTAGCTCAAGTAGAGCCGTTCCCTTTCCCAAGGTTGCATTCTGCTGCCCGCTCAGAGTTCACTTCTGCAAGAGCAGGACCCCACCGCCACCCTGGGGGCCACCTCAGCATGGAGCTCCTGAGGAAGATTTTGTAGCTTCGGTTCAGCAGAGACAAGGTTGGAGAGGCTGGCGTGTGGAAGGTCTGAGGGGTGCTGGAATGTGGTGCTGGCTCTCCCGGTGCTGGACTATCCTGGGGCCAGATGTCCTGGTGCTGGCGAGGTCCCACCTTGGTGTCCACGATCTGATGGACCATCTTCAAGTTCTCTGTTCAGTTTTGGCTATGACTCTTGGAAACTAGTTTAGTGTGAATTTAGAGTTGTTTTCAGGGAAGTCCATCTCTGCCTGTGTCCATGGGCTCCTGGGGTAAAAGTACCGAAACTCCAAGCAGGAAATGTGTGTCATCCTCAGCGTCTCTTCTCTCGGAGATTCTCGTCCCAGGGCTGCCCTATGGGAGCTCGATCTATTGGTTGGTATGTGTGAGCTCAAGGTTAAATGTGAACTTTGGGGTGAGATTGAAGAGAAGACTGGATTTTGCTCGTGGGAGAAACCGCCAGAAGGAGTAGAAGGGACTGGTGAGGAAGGGGCCCCGCTGTCTGTGTGGCACTCAGTTGGCGGGTGGCTCCTTCCCCCGAGAAGCCCCAGGGAGGGGAGAGTGCGCGTGCATCTGCGGGGATGTGTTGGGCTGGGTGGACCCTTTGAGTGCAGAGTGCACTGACCGGCTTCTGTTCTGTCCACAGGCTGGCTGGTCCGACTCGCTGTTCTGGAAGCTGAACCAGTGGCTGATGGTTCACATGTTCCACTGCCGAATGGTGCTGACCTACCACATGTGGTGGGTGTGCTTCTGGCACTGGGACGGGCTGCTCAGCAGCCTCCACCTGCTGCACTTGGCGCTCTTCCTTGTCGGACTGAGCCTCCTCACGCTCATCCTCAACCCCTACTGGACCCACAAGAAGACTCAGCAGCTGCTCCATCCAGAGGATTGGAACTTTGCTCAGCCGGCGCCCAGAAGCAGCCGGCCCACTGGGGCCAACGGCCAGGTGCTGCCCAAGAAGGGGCAGTAGCCACTGGGGGCCCGGACTGCAGCGCGCGGCTCCTGGCCCCGGGCTCTGCTGGCATCCTCCGCATGGGCTCAGGTAGACAGGGGCTCCAAGTCCAATACTGTCTCCAAGTCAGACCAAATGTGTCGTTTGTGTTAATTTCCACGTAGCCACAAAGTGTTTTTAGAGCTTTGGTTTGCCTCCGGGGGTAGAGTTTTGCCGTCATAACTCCGTTGTCTGCTATGGTTTGTTCCTGCACGCCTACCTGTGTGGGGCCCTGATCAGCACCAAGGAGGGGATCGGTGGTGGAGGCCGGGCCACCTGTCCGGGAGGGCCTGACGTGGCGCTGTGGCCGCCAGCGTGGTCTTTCTGGTTACATGGTCAGCGTGCATGTGTCCTGTCCAGTCGTGGTGTCCCGCTTAGTTGGAGAGAACTGCCCCGAGCTGGGTGCCCCGTTCGTGCCCCTCATTAGAGCGTCCTGCATGAAGCATGCAGCCCACTGTGCACACCTGTGTCCAGGGCGTACAGAGACCATGGGCAGGAGCCGCCGCCTGGGACCGGACCCAGCCTGCCCGGAGTGTGCGCGACAGCAGGGCCTGTGAGGCTTGTAGGTCACGGGATCTGTGGGAAAACACGTAGTATGTATTCATACTCTGTGGCTCACTCGGCAAAACACGGGAGACGTTTGGTAATCGGATTTGTCTGGACTGTAGAACCGTTCTGAAGAGACCACGTTGCCAGTGGGCTTCCCATCTGGACCCTTGTTCCGTGGCTGGTGTGTCTGTGGGTGTCAAGGCCGAGCAGTGGTCGCCTTCCCCTGTGCGCTGAGGGGCTGGACGGCAGGGCCCACAGTCGTGGCTCATTCCACGGCAGCCCTTGCTGGGTGCCTGGTGGTGCCTCCTGAGGCGGTCGCCTTTGCCACGCCGTGCCCGATGGAGGTCCCAGCAGCCTGGCTTGCGTGTTGGAAGACACGGGCAGCCCCGCTTCTGATAGCTCACTGCGGCCTATCCGCCTTTACCAGAGACCTGCGTCTCCTCAGCAGTGCCTCCTTCCCGGAAGGGAGTCCCTGTGGGTTTGTCAGGCAGCAAAAACAGGCACAGAGTAGGTCTGCAAAGTGTTGCAGCGCAAACTTTAGGAAAGCGGGGGTCATTTCAGCTCACGACGTGGACTGTGGGGGAGACCCACGCGCACATTTTATTCTGGCCATGACCGTGCAGTTAAAATTAAAAGTTTATTTTTTATCCAAAGCCCCTTTGACGTGTTTGCAAACAACAGGTGTTTACGGGTCGTGGAAACGCCCGGCCTGTGCTCGTCCTGGACACAGAGCTCACAGTGCTGCGTCCTCAGTGTTGCTGCTTTGACGTACAGGTCATGCTTAGGTCAAGATGTGCAATACCCACTATGTCCTTGTAAGAAGTGACTTAGATCTCAACAGTGCCCAGCGCTCTGCGTCCCTGCGAAGACTGCTGCCTGGAGGCCCCGCGGTCATGCCCGGTCTCCCGGAACAGAGGTGGCTGGTGTCTTCTGATGGGATGGAAGTGTAATAAAGTAACTTATGGACCCAGAAGGATGTCAGTCCTTGTCTCTCAGTACTGTTTGTATCAGTGCAAGTCTTGTGTATCTTGGAGGTACAGACTGATGATCAGTCTCTGTTCAAAATTCGGGTTAAGGTATGAAGTAGTTAGCTTAATTTTTTAAAAAAGATTTTATTTATTTATTTAACGGAGAGACAGCGAAAGAGGGAACACAAGCAGGGGGAGTGGGAGAGGGAGAAGCAGGCTTCCAGTAGAGCAGGGAGCCCGAAGCGGGGCTCGATCCCAGGACCCTGGGATCATGACCTGAGCCAAAGGCAGACGCTTCACTGACTGAGCCCCCCCGGGCGCCTCAGCTGAATTTTTGTCTGACCTATACGAGGACTTGGACCTTCCCCAGGTTCACCCTTGACACGGTGCATCTTCACAGAGAGGCGGTTCTTGTGCAGGGAGAGAGCTACCCGGACTACTACACGTGAGCTTGCCCCCCACCCGCCGCACACACCCGTTAGCGCTCCCTCTGACCAGGGACTTCCTGTGAGGAACACAAGAGCAAGCCTGTTTGTGTAGAAAAAGGCTTTTGGAATGCTTTTGATCCAGGACCCACAGATTGTACGGCGCTTCCTGGGCTCTGCGCCAGGCCCAGGCCACCCTGCACCGGCCATGTGCATGGGTGAGGCTGCCGAGGGCGAGGCCCCTGCAGAGCCTGGGGCAGCCGGTGTGACTCATGCACCGTCCACAGAGAGGGAGGGCAGGTGTGGAGCTGGGAGAGCGCACACAGCAAATTCTGGAATCTCGAGAAATGGGAGGATCTGGCAACGTGAGCCTATTACAGGTGTCTGAGGCGGGGGCTGGCCATGCCCTTAGCGAGGGCGCGGGCTCTCCAGCATGGCCTCGACGGGGGGTTACAAATCATTATTGCGTGGCCCTGCACTTTCTCTTGGTGGCCATGCTGTGGTTTTCAGAATGGGGAAACCAGGCCAAGGGGGTAGAGCATGTTTTCTCTGTTTCCGCCTCTGCTCATCTGTGTTCTTGAGCGCCCTGCAGGCAGGGAGGCTGTGCCCCCCCCCCCCGCACAGACCCCAGCGTCCCCTCAGAGCGCACTGAACACCCCGCACGCCGCTGATGGCTGCTGCTCTGTGCCGCAGGGCTCTGCTGGGCGCTTTTTTTTTTTTTTTAATTCAGCAGGCAGGAATGAGTTTATTGCGTTAGAAAAAACACCAAAGAACACCGGCAACCACCTCCATACTAGACAGTTATTAGTTTGACTTCAAGGGCACAAAGGAATCTCAAAGGTACAGCTTGATTTCGGAGACGGGGTGATGGTCTCATCCCTCCTCCTTCCCTGTCCCTTTAAGCCAGTGGACCTCCAAGGAGGTGTCCACGGTATGGTACGATTACACACATGGCTCATTTCCCACTCTGCTCACCTTGCACACCTGTGTGGATCTAGCTGGTCACAATGAGCACGCTCCTGGGGTTCTGCTATTGACCGAGAAATGTGAGGATGGGGTTGGGGGTCGTAGCCTGAGCCCAGGCTTCCCAAATGAGTGACGGTGGGACTTGGATGGGGAGAAAGAGTGTGCCTTCCTGGAGAGCTCTGAGGAGACGGCTGGGTCATCCCTCCATCTCCCCCCACAATCTGAAGGCAGCTCGGGATCCTAACCTGCTGGTGGGAGACATGGCTGGGAGAGAGCCACGCGTACACGTGGGCTTACTCCTCTGGTGTCAGAGCTGAGGTTCGTAAAGGTGCAGTCAGCTCGATGTGGGAGGCTCCCTGGCTGGTCCTTGCCAGCCGATTTAGCGACAGCCCGGGTTCACAGACGGTCACGTCGGTGAGAGCGGGGTCTGTGTCCGTCTGTCCGTGTCCCGCAGGGCCTGGCGTGGGACAGCTACTCAGCAGCAGTAAGCCAGGGAGTGAGCAGACACAGGGCCCTGAGGCAGCCGTCCAGAAGGGTCCCATTGGCGAGCATGTGCTCGCGCACACGGGCTGACGGAGCATTCCAGATGAGGCAGGATGGAGAGGTGGTAAAGCAGCACCAACCTTGCTCAAGGGCGCCTGGCAAGGACATTCTTGGTGGGGAACTGAAAGCTGGCTGAGCTGCAGGAGGGTCTCGTGCCTCCGGGGCCCCGTGGAGGCGGGGTCCGCCAGACTTCTCTGCCCCGTGGGTGTTGGCATCTACGTGTCCATCAGATGGCGTGGTGGTTCACTGAAGTATTGTTAACTGTGGCTCAGTGTTATACGAGGCAAGCAGCCTTCCCTTTATTCCATCCTGTGAACACTGTACGGATAGAAGCAAAGCAGAGAAGCCTGCCTCATTCTGCTTTCATGCAGTCAGACCGTGGAGATGTCACCTGACTTGCTGGCCACCTGTCAGGTGTCCCATGTAGCGGTGAGTCCCTTCCCGACCCTGTAATCGTGCAGTAGTCTCCTGCTCAGGCTGGCACGGACTCGGCACCAGTTAGAAGTCCTGACAGGTGTGTGTGGGCCCCCCACCCCACGCTTCAGCATGAAGGACACAGCCTGTCACCCAGGACGAGGTGCAGGCGAGTGGGGCCAACCTCGAGCCAGAGAGCTGCCCTGGTGTCGCGATCAGAACACCTCCGTGCTCAGGGCCCCCGAACCAGGCACTTGCTTCCCGCCCGCGCCCTGCTGTCCCTTCCCAGCTGAGTTCCCATGAGCTCGTGGGACAGGCGGAAGGCAGGCGCGGGCTCTGGCAGGCCCTGGCAGCAGACACGGCTGCAGGAGCACGGAGCCCATGGGCGCACGGGCCAGTGCCACCACCGCCCGTCAGACTGATGTCAGGAGCGAGAGTTCAGCCCTCCTACAGGTAACCAAACACACGACGCCCAAACTCTCACTTCACCTCCACGTTTACCATTTGCTCTCACGGCAGGGCTTACTGATTTGATGATTGTTTTTAAGTAGCTCTTCCCGAAGCCTTGGTCAGGAAATAGAATATACTCTAGCACGGGTTGTCTTGCCTGATCTTGTCTAGAATACAGCGACGGGAGGAATCCGGGAATCTGTTTTCTGTCTTCTAATGACTCGGAACGCAGAATGTTCTGGAATTGACTCCAGAGTATCCAGAGCTGGTAGTCTCCCTTCAGGGTGGCCCGAGCGCCAGCATGGAGAGGCAGAGAGAAACCATACCCTTCGTTCTGGAGCCGGCCAGGAGTCCAGAGCCCGCTGCAGGCGACACCGTCCCATGTGCAGAACTCTCTTCGTCCGCCTGGGGAATACTTATCTGGCAGGGGAGATACCATGATCACGTCCGCCTGGGGAGCTGAGGCCTTCTGTCACTTTGTGTACAGCGTCCCTTCAGCATCTTGCTACTGTGTATTTGCAGTGTTGCACACCTTCCCCAACACCGGCCTCCCTCCCCTCCCCTGGTGAGGGCATGAGGGCGAGACAGAAGCAGGGTCAGCAGACTCGGGGTCAGCCAGCACCACGACTGTGGCCTCCCCGCCTCCCGACCCGTGGTAACCTGT